CGTCGAGGTGGCACGTCCAGCCCCGGAGGAACCCCTCCTTCCCCCTCCTTGGGGGATGCTCTTCGTGGGACCCACCCCTGCTCGTAACCGAGCTCTCCCCGTGGCCAAGGTGAGTGCTGTCAGTCCGGGGCTTTACCGGAAAAAAAAAAAAAAACCAACCGGGGATTAACGCCTCGAAGTCAGCCCAGCCTCCACCTCCCGTGCGGGGGGCTCCTTCTCCCGGGGTAGGGCTCGGTGCCGTCTCTGGAGCAGCAGGGAAAGCACAGCTCTGCACTGACACAGCTAACATCTCCTCTTTGATTAGCCACCCGCTTCCAGGTACAGCATACGGTTGGTATTCTGTATTCGGTGCTTCCCGCCCCAAAGCAGCCGTCGGTGGCTCTGTGAGTGAGAAAGAAACAAAACATTTAATTCAAAGCTAAAAATGACAATAAAACCAAAAGACTTTGTAGTGGCATGGTTTAGGATTGGTTTGTTTGTTTTGGGTTTTTTTTTTGGTTTTACGTTTTGTTCTTTTATTTGGGCTTACGATTTGCTTGACTTTGTTGCATGGCATATATGGGGCCATCAAGTGACTCCTGTTGTAAAAGTGGCATAGTAGAAAGATAAAAAACAAGGACTGGGTCTCCTACAGTGAGATTGCTGTATGTTGGACCTAATTTCTTTCTTGGTGTGAGCCTGACCATGTGTACGTGACTCAGAAATAGCAGAGGCACTGGCCCCACAGGCGCTGTATTGCAAATATTGTGGTAGAGCAAAGGACTCGGGTCTTGGCTGGGCCCTCATGAAGAGGGAAGAAACCCTCTTTGTGAGCAAAGTGTTTAGAGTAAGTAAACTTTAGCATAAGCAAGTGTTTAAAGTAGAAGGTTGTTTTAAATCAGCTTGACCTGAAGGAGGCTGGGGGAGCATGAACAGGGATTAGAGAAATCAGTGCTGTTAGCTTTGATCTCCAAGAGCATTTGAAGGACTGTAAAGTCTTCAGAAGTCCAGAAAATGGCAAACACTGCCTATTTTTAAATAGAGAGAGACAAAAAATCAGGGCACTAAAGAGCAACCTGAGTTGCTTCAATCCCTAGAAAGTAACAGAGCTTGTTTGTTTCCATGTTAGACCTAGGAGCACTTGTAGATATGGGGAGAAATAGTAAATATCACGTATCTCGACTTTAGCTCTAGCTGCAGTCTCACATGGCATTCTCTTAAGCAATGTAAGAGGAAAGACTATGTGAAATTATTACAGGTTGGGTGACTAACTGGAAAGTCGTATTCCAAGATCTGTGCAGCATCTGGTAATATTTAGTGTTCACATAATTGACCTAAGTGAGGGTCCAGTGAGCTTATTAATTAAGTTTGAAGATACTACCAAGACCGGAGAGGCTGTGAGCATCTTGGAGCACCGAGTTAGAATTCAAAATGGTCTTGATAAGTTGGAGAAATTGTATGGCAATTGCAGGATGCATTTCAAAAAGAAGTTTGCATCTGCCCGGTGCTTGGGCAGGAATAGTCAACTGCAGAAATGCAGGATTGAGGAAGCAAGCGGACAGGCAGCAGGTGTGGGAGCAAAGGTGGTGTAGCAGGTCACAAGCTGAACACGGGGGTTAGGACATCTTACTGTTGAAAATGAGAGAACAAAAATAAGTCAATGCTCTACTGGGATAATGCTTTTTATGAGGTACCTGTGCACCTGCAGTCTCAGGCAGCCTTCACTCTCTTAGCCACACTCAGGGTCACTTTTCACAATATTTGTCATAGTTATGTCAACAAAAATAAGAGACTTCAATTATGATTCCTAGAGGTAGGGTTTAGGGTAGCATTTCTCACTCCCTGGGACAAACACTTCCCCACTGCAACGCTACCAGCAGCAAGGCAGACGCTGCATGTGCTTGGCTGACACCACTTACTGTGCTTTTTTTACTGATTAACAACTGGTGCGACTGGTGTGGGGAGCCATGGTGCCCCTGCCATGGTGAAGGCACATCACTGCATTCGCCCCTGCACAGATGGAAATGAGCTCGGTGCAGTCTAGCAGAGATGGAGCCTGAGGCTTAGGAAGGACAGGGAAGCTGTGACCCCCCATTTCTAGCCCAGATTGCTTGGGAAATGTGGGACCTGATCAGGACTCAGTGGGCACCTTTCCAGACACGCAATCAAACCTCAGATCAGACGTTAAGGGCCAGCTAACCATTCAGATCAGCCTGGTGTTTATGGAAGGCAGTAGGAAGAGAAGGCTTAGCAGGAAAGGATCATTTACACTACGCGGAGGGAGAAAACTACATTATTGGCAGCTTTTTATAAGACAAGAAGCTTTTCAGAGCTGCTTATAGGCTCCAGCTCTCAGTGTTTAATCTATTAAGATACTGGTGGAAGAAAACCTCCCTCCAACCCCCCTCCCCTCCCTGCTTCCCCCAATTCCCTTACTCTTTTTTGAAAAAGGACATGATTAATCCTCAGCATGCGCAGCATGGTAAAGCCTGAGCCCTGCTTTCAGCTGTGGGGATGTAGTCAGATCTAGGTACCATCCTTTCCCCAGAGTGGATTAACAGCAGTTGATCTACACAGTCTGTTTTACGCAGCTGCCTTGGGCTCCAAAATTTCATACGTGAGTAGGAAAAAATTACCTTGGTTTAAACATTTGTCTGGCAATCTGGTTTGCTGAATACTGTCTCCAGAGATGCGGCTTCCAAGTCTTTTCTAAAGCCAGCAGGAATGCTATCCCTTTAGTAGCTACTGAGTTGTATTACCCCTCTCTCCCATCCCCAGCGTAGGTTTGCCATCCTCACATTGATCCCAATACCCATGGATTTGTCTACTCATCTCCTTCTTCCAGCAGACCCAGCTTTGACGTGCACTTAAATCACTATGCAAAGACAAAGCTCTGTCCTACACAGCACAGGAGAGACACTTCCATCTGCTCTGAATGGGACCAACCAGGTCTTTTTCCAAATCTGGCGCTCTCAGCCACCAGCACAAGAGTGGGTACTCACACGCCTTTGGCTCTGTCTGTATTTCTGCATTCCTTCGGAAACAGTTTGGGTTGGACTCAGGTGGGCACAAGCACGGCTGCGCATCTGTGAGGTTAAGGAGAGCTGGTTTGGCAATACCTTCATCTGCTGGGAAGTTCAGACAAGGAAGATACATGTTATCCAGTGCAGCAAACTAGGACAAAACTACCCCACCAGTGTTTTTTAAGCCCGTATGTCTTGGCAGTGTGAGTTTGCTCAGTGGTTTCTATCACCTGGTCACAGCTTTTATGGTTTGGTGGTTGGTCCCTAAAACCTAACCGCTGGCACACTTGCTGCTGTCACAGCCTTCACTCAGTGAGGAGCTGGTACAGCAGAACCACTTTTACTAGAGTCCTTTTACTCCAAGAAATCAACTCAAATTAGCCAAAGGAGGCCATGAAGTGCATTAATGAAACTGCACTGAAACCCTGTGTGGACAGGATATCCTTAATTTATTTATATTTAAACTACCTGAGCTTCAAAGAGAGCAGGATCGAATTGTGGCTGCAGGCCTTCTGCCTTCCCACAGGGATTAATGCCATTTATCTAATCCACTTAACAGTTAATTTATATTCATTATCTTGATTTTCCCTGTGGGTTAGTGCAGAATGACTCTTAATTCTCAGTGTGAAAACCCTTATTCCAGACTAACAGTGCCTTAATCCAAAACTAGTTTAATCCTGGAGTGGATTAAACTAAAGTGAAATGAGGCTTTTGACTTCCAAAAAAGAGCAGCCATTGAAAACACTAATTAGGACAGCTCTTCAAACTCACAGCAAACTCACAGGCTACAGTAATCCTTGCTCACTGTCACTGAGTCCCACGATTCCACTCTGTCTGTCTGCTCCTACTCTGCCTGTAGTGCATCCCTCGGGAGACACAGCCGTTGTAAACCACATCCTGCTAGGCCAGCTCCTAAGCCAACTCATTTGGCTTTGCTGTGCAACAGTGTCTCCAGGGGAGCAGTGAATCCTGGACAGCAAACACTAGCAGAAAAGCACCCTTTTTTTTTCTGTTGGCAGGTATAAGCATTAGACACAATCCCTTTCTTGGATAAGAGGAACTGTCCTCCTAGCAGAGGAGAAGGAAGGTCCGTAATACATCAGCATGGCCAAAGAAGTCATCTCATTTCACTGCAAGAAAGAAAAGATGACAAAGGACAGAGTCCTTGCTGAAAGTGGCTGCGGTGGAGCTGGTCCCCAACAGCCAGCCAAGGAGCTGGGAGGAGTCCCCCAGAGAGTCCCCCAGGGTGAGTTAATGGAGGATTTGATTGCGAGCCAGTTCAAAGGATCAGGAAAGTCGAAAAGTGAGACATCTGTCAGAGTCTCTCAAAAGACATGGAACTTTTATCACTGTAGTTTTTCACACCTGAGGCACTGAATTTTTAAATAGAAAAGGAGAACAAAATTACCTGCCAAAGTTTCAGCACAAATGTGCCTAAACTGAACTGTTGAATAGTACCCTGATAGCTGGGCAACAGATCACTGGGGCTATCTTCA